AAGGGGCCACGGGGAGGACTCCTATGGAGGTTTCCGAAAATAGGGGTAGCCCTAAATCATTTTCTGGTTGGTGGTTTCAACCAACCCCTCTGAAAAATATGATTTGGTCAGTTGGGGTGACTATTCCCAATATATTGGAAATTCCAAACCACCAACCAGAAAGGATGTTCCGTGAAATAAACCATCCAGCTATTGGTGACCCCCACTATGGAAACCTCCATCGATCGTCTCTAGTGACCAAGATGACCAAGACACCAAGACCACGCTTCAGCGGGGTGCTTCGAGCCGCCAAATGCAGCACCAAGGGCTCTACAAGCTGTGGATGGCCCACGATCTTCGCGGGAAAGACCTGCACATACATGGGGACTTAAGCCACACGAATGGTGATTAACGGTTGTTTAAACAACAAAGACGCGCATGGATTTAATCTGGATTGAAACCTGTGATGTCACCACCCACAAAAATTGTGATTTAATGTGATTGGAACTTTCGGAAAAGGAATCACCCGTAGGAGACCCCTCAAAACGCATAGCACGTCATCGACTTGCGGAATTCGGTAAGTGAACCAACTCTCACAAATTCTCAATCATCTCGACAAAGCCAAATCTACGAAAAAGGGAACCAAAAGTTGGACTGACCAACAGCTCACAAGGGTTCTCAAAAGCGCCCCGAAAGGCGGGACTCTCAACCATATCTACACAACCAACTTCGTGTAAGGTAGAAGTTACACAGGTGTCCCCAAAAGGCAAGAAGCAAAAGGCCTTCTGAACTTGCCCAATCAGCAAGTTCACGTCCTAGGAGGTATTTGTACCGGGTCAATGCCCGCGTGGTAGTTTCACCCAAGCAGTGACACCACCAAGCCCCCCCTGGGTGATTTAATTAATGTGATTCTAACCCGCAGACATGGTGATCTAACGTGGATTTAACTACCAAACATGGGGATATGAATTACTCGTAAGTAAATAGCTTAGATATTTTTAGATTACACATATATTAGATGAAAACAAAATACTTTTAGATGTGTTCTTGTAGATGAATATGCTGTAGTAATATATAATAATAACACTCCGGCAATATGTTTTACAGTTTGGTATGGTATAGATGAGCCCTTTGGCATTTACCCATTGAACATGGTTATATTCAATAATAGTTACCTGACTTTTAATTTCTACTTGTATTTCCAATCACTATTATGTTGGGGAAATGCCAGAAACTCTTGGCGAAATGTTGGGACATGACTACTTTACTACCTATACGCTCTAATTGAGATAAATTACAATTTCCTATGGTATAGATGGCATTAAGTTCGATGATTTAGCCATCAAAATCTGCGTGCTGTGTCCATAGCTAACTGCTGAATTACTAGCAAGATCCCCGGAATTGGCGGAACAATCGCAGGAAAGCTCCAAAATTTGGCTCTCATTCATCATGTGAACTCCATGGTTTCCAACCAAACCATCGGATAAATAACATAAGAACATATCAAAGGATATCAGAAGATGCTAGGCGAACTGAAACAGGGCCGTTTACACGGTTTACACAGCACGGCAAGGCCCTTGGTTGCTGAATCACCATCTCCAAACAGCAATCCACAACGATTTTGTCATATCCAGGGTCAATCAGCCTCCACGAGGGGTGGAATACAATGTAATTAAGCGATCATGTCGAAGCCACCGGCTTAGGAATAGAGAACAAATAACCCGGGCCAATGTCATGCTCTGCCCCTCTGCTCTGCCTTCTTCTCTTTCAGCACACTCCCAGCGTAGTTTGCCAGGCATTTCACAGCGCTGTGGATGTCTTCTTCCGATGCATCACGTGCCGGTAGGGAAAGCACGAAAGGGTGCGGATGGACCATACTCCTTAGCGGAAATCTCGGCAGAACATGGCAAAACTGATTAGTGATTGAAAGCCATTGAACAATAGATCAATATACAGTTTGGTATATACCATAGCAATTTAATATATAGTCAGTCAGTAGGGCCCCAGAATCGGAATGCAAGCCAAAGGACTGTGCAGGGCCATGTCTTGATGATTATTGATGCGACTAATGGCGACTAAATCAAATTACTTTCTTCGAGTGATCCCCACCCTCAAACACTATTCTGATATGTTTCTGACATACCATCTGGAAATATACGGTATATGGATGTATATGGCATATTTATTTTGACATTCTATCTGACATTCTTTCTAGCAAAGACTCTAGCATTCTACCTGGCATTCTATCTATCTGGCATCTATTTCTAGCATTCTAGCTGACATTCTCTGATGTCCGGCAGTGCCCACTGAGATCGAAGCGGGACGAGGAGGACGAGGAGGTGGAGGGTGGGCGGCATGCAGCTCTGATAAAATCATATAAATCTAGAGACCCTCACCTGGCAGGTGGGGAAAGCAAATACCGCAGTTTCAAGGTTGAACAACACCTCTAAAACGACCACATGAGCTCAAATGAGCTCAAATGGCCAGTCACATCAAATTGATCTCAGTATATCTCAGATCCAAATCCGAAGTGCAGGGTTCACACAGGCGCTGCGCCAAGGGTCGCTAAAAGCACTGGAGATCCAGCTGATCCGGTGACCGCCACCAACTCTGGTGTGATGTTGTAGAAGTTCATGTCCTCCCCATATGCGAACCATGGTGCTGGTATATTTACCTACAAAACTGGGTGATTTTGTTCGGGCAAATGTTGGTAAATATTCCATACATGGAGCATATGTCCTCAGGCTCAATTCGAGCTGCGTGTGGTCAAAAATTGGGGTTTTCATGGCACAAAATCGGATCAACATCAGGTCAAATCCGCCAAAAATCGCCAAATCCTATAGAAATCATGGGGCCCCAGCTGGAGATCTCAATTTATCCCGGCTGCGTCGCAAAAAAATAGAAAACTCAACAACAGCAACATCAATGGAGTTGTCAACCAAGGGGATGGTCCTAAAATTACAGATTTGATACAGTCATTGTGGGGAAATACATGATTCGTAGATTTTTGAGATGATTTAAGGGGTGCCGTATCTTCACGCAAACTCAAACCAATGGACAACGATCGCGCAGAACGACTTTGATCTGGGCTTGGCTGGGCCCTGCGCCGAGAAACATGGGATCGATGATGATCGTTTTGAGGGGAAAATGACGAAACATCGGAAACCATCGTCTCTAGCATGAATTATGGAGGAGCTTCTTTAAAAGATCTCACTGAGACTAATTCTGACAGAGAAAAACCTCGGATGATGAAACAATCCAAACCTACAAATGATATCGAATGATGGGCAATCCAATCAAAAAAAAACATCAAAAATCATCAGTGATCCATGTCGCCAGATGTCGGAAAACTCGCTGCCGGGTGACTTTCTGCAGGTTGCCCAGCACGCCCAGCATGATGCTGTGCTCGGCCTCTCTGTCTGCAAAGATGGGATCGGCATCTCCTCATGGCAGGCTGCTGGGTCCAGGTTGTGGGATGTGCATATTGAGGGGATGATGATGTATGTATATAATTATATAACTGATTATATGCGTATATATATATATGCATATGATTATATATGTATTTGATAATTATATACATATATATATATATTGCAAAATATCTATGTAACTGTAAAAAAATGAACATATTTCAGGTAATTGAAGGGATGGTTTGGATTTAAGACATTGATACTGACGAATGAACATCACCAGTTGGCGATGGTAAAATGCAACTTCTGGGAGCCAAGCCCGTTGGCGAAGTTGCTCTCCAACAAAAGGCTTAACTACCCTCTGGTAATTTAACATAGCTATTGAAAATGGCCATTTATAGTTGATCTACCCATTAAACATGGTGATGTTCCATAGCTATGTTAGTTGACCAGAGGGTATGGTTTATGGTAGAGACAAATCACGATAATTCGATAATGATAGATCATGATATATCATGATATATCTCTATATGTTTAAATGAGACTGTTAAACCAACAAAAAAACTTGGTTAGTAAGCACCTTGAAGCTACATACACAGGCTTTCAAGATCTTTCAAGGCGCATCGGCTGTTGCACATCCAAGTGGCGTATGAAGTCAGCCGCTGACGTGTAGAACTGAACTTGCCCGGGGCCAGGCTCAACCATGCCAAGTTTCTGGTGTTGCCCAAGGACTTTTGAGGATGCCACAGCTGTGAGAAAATGTCAGGTCCGCCATCGTGTTCGTTTGGCTGACTGCCATCAATTGTTCAATCCCATGTGCTCCATGTATAGTATATTTACCTACAAAACGAAAAACTGGGTGATTTTGTTCGGGCAAATTTTGGTAAATATTCCATACATGGAGCATATGGGAATCTTACACACCCATCAAACGAAACACTGGTTTAGTACTGGATCATGCCGTGACCTGTGGGCCCTGTCATGGAGACAGTCCCGATACGATCAGTGCAAAACTGGATCTACATTTGCCGGGATTCATATGTTTTCCCATAATAATAAAGAAACAAACGTTAAAAAAAAACAGGAATCTATATTTATATAATATATATGCAACATGTATGAGCATGTTATGGAAAATTCATCGGCTTTCCTAACAGATTACAATTATCTCACTTAAATAACAAACTTATATCTTATATACCATGCTGCGGTTGCGGTCATGTTTTTCCCTTGTGGGGGGAAGTTCTGAAAACATAAATAAATTGGTTCGGGCTGAGCCTGTGAACTTCCACAATCATGCCACAAACACCACATAACAAATGGTCCCTGCCATAGCCCCCCCCCCTGCCAGCATACCTTGGAATAATTGGATATTATTCCAGCCCCATTGCACATATTCTGGGAAAACATTCCAGTATGTCACACGACATCGGGAATAACTAGGGTAAATTTAGGGCAACCCCCCCTCTCCATTCATATAAAAATACAAGTTGTAATCAAATTTGGTATATTTTTGGCATGTGTTGATTGAGGTTGTATTGCCACAAACCACTAGAAACCTAGTGTCAGAAAACCTTTTCAAATAAACTCAAAAGTTTATTGGGATCTTGAAAGTTTTGCTTGTTCCTGGTTTCAAAGATGTGCTCCGGCAATGCTCAACCTATCTCAACCTGTGATTTTTTGGGTTCCATTTTGCACCTGCTGTATCCTACCCCCAAGGTTTTTCACCAAACATCTAAAAACACGCAAAAGCAAGCAGCAAACAAACATAAACACCCCTGTCAGGAATGTTGACACGAATTATTCCATACAACATCTTGGGATAGGATAGACCCCCTTAGCAGAATAATTAGAAAAAAATCCGAAAACTATTTATTCCAAATCAATTATTCCTGATGTGACATGCCCCCCTGGAATAATTACCCAAGGTAGGGGCCATCATAGCAGACATGTCATGTGACGGACGCGCGTACAGAAACCATCTTCAAACCGTAAATGTTTCTGGAAAAAACCTGTCATCATGACTTATATAGTGACATATTGATATAGATTCACCATGATTCACTACAGTAAATTTAATCACCGTGTACCACAGTTTACCCCCCCCCCAAAAAAAAAATGTCTATACTTCCAAAATCACCATGACAGCGACTTTTCCGACATATCAACAGAGTCGAGAACTCCATGGGAAGTCTTTGCCCCTTGGCCCGGCCGCTGGTGGCTTCAAGCAAGGTGACCTCTTAAATGAACTCATGATATAACGAGTGTTTCTTCGATAGTGGCTACTGGATGCTGGTGAACACATCCAGAACAATCTGATGATAGCAGGAACAGCCAACGTGCATGAGCGATGGCACCCGGGCCCACACTCTTACCAGTTGGCGCGCACTTTGGCGCGTTCAAAAGGCGGATTCCACTTCTTTGAGCACACCCATAAACCTTGGCCACTTCACAACATCTCAGAACTTGCTCAAACTCTTGCAGTGTCTACGAAGCAGGTCACAAGTATGTAGATAAAAGGGAAAAGACTCACCGTGGGGCTGTCGTTCTGTGGCTTACGAAAAACACTGGCCATGTGTGTTTGTGGTAGATAGGTGTAGGCTGCCTCCAAGACAAGAACTACATGCTTACGATGCTTTTCCTTCGCTCTGGTTGGGGACCACTACGGGTGTGAAAATCGTGGCCAAAACCCTGTGTACAATGGGGATTTGTCCAGTCATGACCATCCTCTTATGATAGGTTAGTAAGGCAAAACCATGGGCTGCCAGGGGCTACACTCGTTTCCTCATGGGGAAAGGATGAGAACAGGTACCAAGTACTTTACCCAATTCTTTACCATCCGGTATTGTATTCCGCGTGCGCTTCCAGATTCCAAGGCCCACCACATGCACATATCACCAGGGACAGGAGTCAAGTTCCAGCAAACGTGTGGGATTTGGGTAAACCACTTTAAAAAACAGATTGTCAAAATAGTTATTGGAAGAGCACAATTTTGAATGGTAAATCCTCTACACATGGGCAATTGTCCAAAGCTATGTTAATTACCAAACGGCACCTCAGCTATAAAAGCAATAAATTGGTGATGTGGTGAAGCGAAGGACTGCCGAATGCAGGGAAACCACGGAAAACCACGGGCCAGTCATGGAGAATACTGTGACAGATTGGCCTTGGCCAATTCAAACTGCCACATTTTCCCAATCTTCTATAGAAGTTTTGCACCTTCCTAAACCTGACTTTCGTTTTTTTTCCGGGAACTTTTTTTTGTTCACCTTCCCATGCTAATTATCCAGATTTCATCAAATGTCAACCCCGGATGGAAAAAAACATGTTAAAACACCAAGGTTGATTGTTGGTGGTGGTTCCCCCAATGATTTTGATGGCTGAAATGGTACTAGCGATGACCTGGGCCACTGGGTGCCCCAACACTTCTTCCATTTCCTTCGAGAGGCCCAAGACCAATACCAGGGCACTGCCCAGCATGGCCTGAAAGCGTTGGGGAAGCAATGGGCTTGAACCAACATTTAATGTGATTTAAGGTGATTTGGGGTGATTTAATGTGATTTATATAACGTGGTTTAACGTGATTTAATGTGATTTAGCCATTAACCATTGGAACTTAATGGGCTGCGAATGGGACTGTAATGGGATATAGAGGGGTGTATGTTAAGAACGAACTTAGTATGATCATATGTGTTATTGTCATCCATCCCATGTTTGTTTTTTTTTAATAATTGTCATTTTGAATTCCCATTGAATATTGATGGCTATCCATTAATATGGGTATATCATCTATCTTTTTGACCATGGCACATATTAGCGTACATGTACATATTCCATACACATAAAAATATATGATTATATATGTATATGATATACACATGTATGTATTCATACTACTGTGTGATGATAATGAGTCACAAACCTGGCATGTTCGCCAGTTTCACTCGGGAAGGGCCCATCTACCAAGGCAACTGAGCCGACCATGAAATGAAAGCAACCCTGCGCAATGGATTGCGCACAGATTTGCACGAGAGACGAGAGTGCGCTACACACACATATATATATATATATTTGCTATCACACTATGGTGTCAAATACTGCAGCTACTTGATTGATTGATGTTCTGAATCATGAAAATTATGCAATAATAATTGTACAACTACACCTCATCAACACTTGCAGGTTCCTCACCCAAGTCATGGCCAACCTTACCCCAAAACAGGGAGCTTTTATAAAGAACCATCTTTCGCCAAGACTAACCGTCACTAGCTTGTCCAGTAATTTCCAATTGTTGCTGGCGACAATTCCCTTGCTGGTCACTTTGGTGTAAACCATTGAGTTACCCCAAATCGACAGGTGTTCCTGGCACGTTTACCATATAGCAAGGCCAGCGCAGCTCAACAACAAATAAAATACCCCCAGGAATCTTATCATGTACAATATATATATATATATATACATATGATATAAACCTCTCCGCTTTCTGGGGTTCTCTCTATTCTCTGCCATTTCTTGGCTTATCCTAAGGCTTTCCCCCGCGCCTCCAACTTCACTTCCAGATTCTGCATGGTATCTTCAAAGCCAATGCCCTGATCACTCAACCTCGATCTGCAAGAGCTTCCATGGGCTTCCTAGATAGCTAAGGTGACCTATAACTTGGTTAACCGTTTGGGTTCATAGGGGGAAAACAAATATATATATATATACAGAATATATATATATATATGCAAAATAATATATATATATATATTTATACAAAGAAACATATACATAATATATATATGTACATATATATATTTATATATAACATATATATATATACTTAATATATAGATACAAAATATATATATATATATATACATAAAATATTTATACATAGTATATATATACACATATATATATATACATAAAACATATATTTGTATATATTTATAAACATAATCTATGTATATATATATACACATAATATATATATATATGTATTGATCTGTTTATTTATTTATATATACATAATATATACATATTTTTATATATATACATATAAATAAATTTATATATATATTATGACTATAGCTAATGGGAAATCATTGTTTTCCTGACGGGAAATCGCTCCATCCATGGGAACATTACCATTCTCCAGGGGTAAATTATCAATCTCCTTACAAGAATATGTTATTTCTTTGTTAGGAATTCACCATGTTCATCACTTTCGTTTGACCCAATCCCGCATTTCTGCTTGGCGAAATCCGACTTTGAGTACAACTTATGCATTGAATTCGAGCACGTTTGTCTGCGAAATCCCGCTCCCTACTGAATACAACTCCCCATTTCCACTGAATGAGATCCGATCTTTTTGGGCTTAAAAGGTTCCAACATAATTCATCACAAATCATCCATCATAATCCTAAAACCATCAGTATAAACCACCGCATCTCCCGCCTCTTGCCAACGACCCCGAAGGTGCCCACAAAGCCGCTATGGAGCAGGGAATCCAGGCTGGCTCCTCCAGGAAAGAGGATAGGATGGTAATGGCTATGCCCAGATACAGTACTAACATGGCTATTATGGATGGATAATGATGGATATTAAATGGATGACTCATCTGCAAAAATAAAAGCTAATTCACCATAATTCACCAACCAGAAATGTTGAACCATTTTTGGGATATTTGCCCTTGCCAACCATCGTCCTGCTGTATATTCCACTTGATATCCCACCAAATCCCGACAGGAAGCTGCCAACAATTCATGGCTTCCCCACATGTATCTCCAATCAGAACAACTCAAATTTCTTCTCAGCAAATTCCAGTTCCATTTCTCCCCCATTTTGTGTTCCACGAAACCACCATGAAAATCGAACGCCACCGCTGCCCAACCGCGCCTGTTTTGAAGAGACCAACCACTAAGGTCACCTCAGGCCGCGGCGTCTCGTGGCGCCGCAAGTTGTTGGCTGCTTTTTTTCATGGTGGTTTAAGCAGCAACAGAGGGTTGTTCACCACGAAAAAATGGGAGTTCATCATTGAAAAATATGGATTTCAAGCATTAAACACGTGGAGTTCACTGTCACACCATCAAACATGGGAAAGTTAACCAACATTTATTCAAATCAGGCCACCGTCATGTGCTTGGCCCTGATTTCCAACGAATAAACCACCTTGAGGCCTTGTGGCAAGTGTGTCCTGCTTGTAAGATCTTGTAAGGTCAAATCACCTCATTTCGATGGGGATAACATGTTCAAGGCATTCTTGAAACTCAGTAGGCATGATTGATATTCTCTCATAGGAACTGGATCAACCCTAAAATGCAGAGGTATCACCCGCCAGTCCGAACTTGTACCAGCAACATTCAGATCCAAACAGAAACAGATATCATCTTGCCAACAAAACCAAGCATCTGACCAAAACATCAAAGGGCATAAAAAAAACGCATAAAGGGTATAAAAGGGCATCCCAACAAACATTGGATTGAAGGGGTTTCAACCACGAAACGTTGGATCACACATAACTTAACCCATCAATCCAAAGTCCCAGCGCTTTAACGCTCCAAAGTCCCCCCCCAGACTCTGGGGCGGACCAAGAAGAAGATCAAGCCAATGCCTGCCAAGATCATCAAGACGAAACCCGTAATCTGCCGAAGTGTCCTGGCTCGATTTCCCATGTCCCAATTCAACCATTTATGAACCAGTTTTATTGATGTAGGACCAATGTAGGGAAACTCCACTACCATATTGCTATAGTGTGCTTGGGTTTTCATGGATTTCCCAGGTTCCAGGCCTAAACAACGATAAAAAGTTCTGCAGTGGAGGATTTTTGGGTCGAATCCATGGGTGCAACCTGGCATGTTTGCTTCAATAGTAAGGCAAAGATCTATTAAGAGTTTCCTAGCCAGGTGATAGTTGATTACTACTACTAACGTTTTCTCCCTGTGGAACCGATCAACACAGACAAATGTATTTTCAAGTACATGGTACATAGCAATGGAAAGACAAAAAGAGACAACGTGTGATTAGTTCTCCGGTAGAAAATTGGAAAAAATGGATACCCATCCTTAGCTCTCTCCTAACCATCAAATATAGCCAGTACATTGGACATGTTCCTACAAAGCCACAGGTCACACACAGAGCTGCACGCCGCAACACGAATTTGCAACTGGACAAACGCGCTCCGTACGGTGAATGGCTCGACGTCTTGAACGCAAGAGCTCGAACTTTCAGAAAGTTTCCAAGCCTTTGAATCAAATTCGGATAAAGGCTTGCAAATGGTTGGGCCCTCTCTGCAAACAGATCCACTGAATCGATGACATAACTCTTTAACATGCAACTTAAGTGACATAACTCTTGTTTTCCAAACCATCCACGTGTACCACCATGGAAATCAGCCATCCACCGATCAAACACGGTATGGAAATCAGAAAACCATCAGACCCAGACCACAAGCGTGGGTCCCTGTTGGACCACATGGGACCCCGTCATCTCGACCAAACGAGCAGCAGCAAGCAGCAAACAGCTGATCTTGGTTGGTGGATTCAATGAGTCTACCATCGCAAAACATGTGGCTATTAATGTTCTTAACCAACAAACACATGGAAAGTAAAATCGAACTAAAAAGATACGGATACTGTATAATAGGCTAGCGAACATGGATTGCACACACACACACACGTGATTTCGACATATTTTGACCCTTAACAAAATGAGTGAATTGTCAACACATTTTCGGGAATGAAGAATCAAACACAATTGTCAAACCCAAGCAGTATCCTAGCAGCTCGTAGTCACCCCAGATCCGGGATTCTCTAGGAGACCTACCTACGGTAGTAAGCCCCAAACATGATCATACCACATACCACGGATGTAGCAGCTGGCTGGCTGTTGATATGGGTGGCAAAAAAAAATGCAAAAAGACTATATGTATTAGCTAAGCAACAAAATTAGCAACTGAGACCATGTATGTTGGTGGCGGCTGCGAGCACCCGGACAAAGACGCCAACATCTTGTAGTGAACACTGCAAAACTGTTGGACTTGCGTAACCTTTTCACATCTCAATATGGAACCAGAAATAGCAGGTGGCTATGGATTCTCAAGTCTTCAACAGTTTTATCCCCATGACTAACTATGCCTAAACTCCTAAACCCCGTGTTCATGGTGCAAACTTACATCTTTGTTGCTTGGACTTCTGTTTTTCTCACTCAGTGACATGATCGGACTGTTTCAAGTTTACCTCAAGTGGGGAAGAGGACACGGTTTAAACACCAAAAAGGCATGGTCAACCGCACACACACATACAATACCTTCATGAATATGTAATAAATATATACACAAATACAACATGAGTATACCTTCATTTGCACATGCAGTTACATGCAAATCGGTATGTGTGTATGTATGTCTGCATGCATGCATGCATGTGTTTGTGTGTATGTGTATGCGTATGCATATGTGTATGCCTATGTGTACGTATGCTACATATCTATGAACATAATATATATATATATACATTTGTATATATAATAAAAAAATCACGTACACAATCTTAAAACACATACACACCAATCATCAAGGCATTATATATATATATAATATATAATATATGCATCTATTCAGAGATACTCACAAACATGTAAAACGTTTGTACCCTTGAACCCCTAGTGCCCAGCAACGCTCCGCAGGCATTCGGATAATGGCTGGTACTGGCGTCCTTCCATCGCCTGGACGCAGGAACTGTTCAGCAGGAACTGGGTACCCTGTGGTAAACATGCAAAAAAAATATGGAAAATCACCAGTTCTTTTAGGTAAATCATCTAAAATCACCATTTTTGAGAGGTAAATCATCTAAAATCACAATTTTTAAGAGGTAAATCATCTAAAATCACAATTTTTGATATGTAAATCATCTGAAATCACCATGTTTAATGGGTAAATCAACTATTTCTATGGTCATTTTTAAGTTAGCAAACTGTTAGTTTCTGTTAGTTTACCAGAGGGTATGTCACGGTTGTCTTCGACACCGGTGGCTACAAGGTGGTGCCTTAGAGGTATAGCTTGGACGTAAATCCATCGTTGAACGCCATAAATCCATCGTTGAACGACGTATAACATGTCTAACTGACCTTAGGGGGGCCCAATTTATCCAATTTTTATGGTGGTATTGTTATTGGGATAACGTTTTTTGTGCAATTTGATGGACGGCGGAATATAAATCAAGAAATTGGTGCGAATCCTGGGGATAAAAGGATACACATAGGGAATTTATATGGATTTATGGGGTATATAACACCAACCATTGGTGAACAACAAACTTAGATAAAATGGGATAACTCTGTCAACTTCGGGCCAATCCGTAAGTGGCTAGTAAGCATTCTACAATCTAGTTGTACATGGCATAAGCCAAAGCTCTGCACGGGATATTCAAGACTTGAAAACTATTTCCAAAATGAAGCTGTTTAAACAACAACTAGTTGAAAAACAAGCAGAACAAGGTCTATTTAGACTTACTAGGACGCACATCCAAACCATCCAAGCAAACAAGCAGCTGGCCGCAATACCATTGTTCCGTGGTGTTTAGCTTGGAGGCGCAGCCGCTGGCGTTACATGTGATGCTTGTGTGGTCCAGGGATGCGTTGAGTTCTAAAGCCTCGGCTACGGAGTTTCAAAGCCACGGCCCCAGTTAGTAAGCTGATTTAACCCTCTGGGTATAACTTAATTTGGCCTGCAAACGCTGGATTTCTTTTGCTATTTGGTTGTCAATTTTTACCTTTCAGGTTTGTCGTTTGGGATTTGTGTTAAAATTTTACTGTCATTTTTCGTCATGTGATTGTCGTTTTGGTTTGGGGAATGAAAAATATATATTTTTAAATTACTCCCAATCTGGCAAATGTAAAAAGGCAGCAAAACGACATAACAATGCAAAAGAACGAAAGGCAAATGGCAAACAATATGGCCGAAAAAATGATTCGCGTGCCGTCAAAATAATGACATTTTGTGGACTTTCCAGGTCGGCTCCGGATATAGCCACCCGCGCCGAATGAGAAAACGACAAGAAAACCGCAAGAAAACGACAAAAATACCCAATAAAATGACACAAATGTATCTGACAATAACAAAAATGATGACAACAAAATAACACACAATAAAGACAACAAAATGACACACACACAATGATATCAAAATGGCAAAACAAATGCACAACAAAACAGGAAACCCAAAAAATGACAAAAATCAACTGACAAAAATAGGTATTCAAAAACCTTCAGAGTTTGCTGGTAAGATTCTCATAAATTTAACTAACCCTACTTAACCTACTTATCCTACCTATGGGGTTAAAACATGTTATAACCACCACCGAGTAACAATCAAAATGTGTGGTTTCAAGCAGAAAAAATGATTTGATCTATAAAGAAAGTCCTGAACTGCAAAACATGGGGTATAAAACAAATGTGGCGGTATAACGGGGATTTAATGGGGGCACAATGGAATATGTAGTGGAACATAGTGGAACATAGTGGAACATAGTGGAACATAGTGGAACCATGTTTTTTCAATGGGTTGGTTGAAAGTAAAATGGGAAATGTATGGACATGTTGGGTGGGCTTCCCAAAGCAGTGATACAGGTCATTGAATAGATAGACTTGACATGACTTGACCCTTACCCATACCATCCATCTCTGATATATATATATATATATATATTACCTTTCTCCTGCTGATTTTTGGAAGTAAATGTAGGTAAGTATGCCACACATCTGGATACATTATAATTAGAGTAACTCTTCTAACTGAACACGGCAATTTGAGGATGATTGCCCATACTAACCACAACCTATAGTGACGTCGCAGTGAGGTAGTTATGGCTACAATTCAATGTAATTCATCCAGACATGTGGGTTCAACATACACCCGTGGGTTTCGATAGCTACCCTCTGGAGACTCAGCATGGCTATGGAAAACCACCATTTAAGTTGTTTTGGGGATGCATGTGCATGCCCTAATACAATGAGGCGCTGCAATGAACAATTTGTACCCACCCCGAATGGCCGAGCACAATCATTGTGAGGGTGGCCCCTAGCCATTGGACATGTATCATTGGTCAGAGGCATGTGAGAATGATCACGCTTCGCGAGGGAATTTAACCACTTAGAGCTAGGTAAACCACCAAACTAAACGGGCCATCTATACCATAGCTATGTTAAATAACCAGAGGGTAAATCCCATGAATATCCCCATGTTTCTTAATTTAGTCTCCATTAACCACCATAAAATCCCATTATATAATAATTATATAGTTCCCATTTGTTCCCATTTTATATATACATATATGTGCGGTTGTCAAAACTCCTTTCATGAAACGGACATCAACATAATTTGGAAAGGCCCCATCCCTAACCACAGTTTCGTAGCAATTTTACCATCATTATACCATATCGATTTACAGGCGTATCGCTAAGGCTAAATGCAGCTAATACTGGTCATACTCCTCTGTACTACTAGTATTGATTATACCAAGATATTGGGAGTACTAGAAGTGCTAGCAGCGCTAGTACGAGTAAAAGTAGCACAGAGAATTGGAAGTACTAGAGATACTAGCAAGGCTAGTAACACAATCCTGGTGAT